GCACTTGTAAGACGCAGACAACACATGCGGGTATCAGGTCCTCTAAAAAAAGTGAGTGCTGTCATGGGACACCCGGTAGAAACAAAGTTTCTTCTCCGACAAATATTATAGATTACAACTACATTTTAGTGGAACCATTCAAAATAAAAGTAAATGTGAAAAATAAATGAAAAAGAAAATTTTTATTGGAACGAAGTTCCTTATGGGGCGTTAGGTGGATGGGAGTCGCTGGAAAAAAATCGCAACACCAAAAAGCGTAACACCGAAAAGCGTAACACTGAAAAATTGCTCGGCTCGGCTCGGCTCTGCTCGGCTGCCGGCTTACATATCCCCTCCCTCCTCTCATATTATCGTATGTCCCCACTAGGATCGTACCATCTGGCAACCGGGTTCCATTCGCGTAGGCTACCCAACATCGGTCGTCACGCGCGTAGAGGTGACCGTCGGGCGGAATGGGGGGGGGACCCATTAAACGAGTAATTATTTTTGACGAAGCATAACTTAGCCGGTATTCGACTTAGAGACCCCGGACCAATGGGCATCTCAATTTTTTAGGCCCCAGATGAATTTTCAACATTAGGGAACCAAAGCCCCCACCCCCCCACATTTTGAGTTGAGTGTAACTCGGCCGGAATTCAAGTTAAAGACCTCGGACCAAGGGGGAACCCATTCTTATTATGAAGACTACAGTTTTCCGCTTTAGGGAACGGGGGCACCTCCTCCCCCCCTTTTGGATTTTGCTTTTTTGATGGATTTTGGTCCGGGAGAGTACTAACACCCACCTCGCCAAGGGGAAACTCGGGGTTTTGAGTTTTTGATGGGATTTATTGGGATTTTCATAAATATTGTTTTTATTGATAAGGAAAGTGATAAGAATTTTATTTTCGAAATAATTTTTGCCCCTTAAATTTATAAATTTATAAATTCCATTGTGATTTCCATTTACCTTCTTCTCTATATACATACAAATCTATTAAACAAATGAAATTAAAATTTACTTTTGAAAAACGATAATCGAGTACAAGCTGTATCAACCGTATCATTATTAAAATTTCTTTCAGTAGAATTGACTTAACCATCAATAGGTTTTTTTTTTTTTTTTCTTTTTATTGGATAACCCGCGGCAACATAGGCCATTGGGTGTTGGGAGGGAACTGTAGGTTTTTAGATTGGGTAGGTTGGTACACGTGTGTGTTTGTGGTGGCAGAATTTTTATTGGGGCACCCGTAGGTTTCTGCCATGCCCCGGGTTGGGGGATGGCGGCACTTGTACTCCGTACACCGTGACTTGCCCGGAGAAAAATGCCGCCCAGTGGTCGAGAGGCGAACCCGCGACTGCCAGCGCCGCAGTCGACGCGTTAGACCTACTGATTAATTTCATAATTGCTTTGTACTTTTATAATGATTAAAATACGATTTTTTTATAATACTCAGAAAAAATTTATTATAATTTTATTACCATGCGCGCGATATATTTATACAAGCATTCATTTCTCTCTCTGTCTCTCTCTCTCTATCACTATTTATTTATATTTTTCTAACCATATATGTTTCCGCGTCTCGCATCACATGCACTGAACTTCGTTCCTGCCGAGTGTTCAACAACACTCACTGTTTTTATTACTATTTAATTAACATGATGATTTTTTAATGAACATGTACTATTTGGGTTTTTTAATAAAATAAATAACCTAAAAGCAATTTATTTATATTGATTTATATTTAACATTACATTGTGGTATACGCATACACAATTAATGTATTCATACTCTATTTGAATATTTAAAATTCATAATTATAAGCATTTGTTATTTTTTTATATAAAAAGGAATAAGGATAAATAAATATATTAGACATTTATGTAGTTTTTGAAATCAAACATCACAAAAGTTGTATAGCAGTTTATTATACAGTACATGTAAAAAAACGCAAAAATATTCATCATTTTTATTTGTACAAAGCTTATTCTTATATTATCACACTTAAACATATTGAATAACATATCGCAAAACAATATCATTCAAAATAACTTATCAATCAGCCAGTTGGGACTTCTTGCCTATATGACTAATAAGAAATATCATTGATGAAATACAATTTAATATATTTCATTATAAAGTATACATATGAAAAAAATATATATATTTCAAACTACCAACATGTACTGTTTTTAATATTTAAATTTTTTTCACAAAATCAAATTCACTAAAACCAATATAGGTAATAACATCATTCATATAATATTAATTATTATACTGACTGATAAGCACCAATTATGGCACCAACTTATTAGTTAATAGGGGAGTGTTATGCTTTGATTATAGCAAATCCTAGTAGTTTAAAATGAAAAATAATAATTTGATTTAAGTCATATTGTAAGGATTACTAATAAATACACATTAAACAATAAACAGGTAGGCATATGCCAAAGATTTAGAGCCCAGATATTGAGACACATTGAATATATTTTCTAAACGACTACCTTATTCAATACTATGTATATTAAATTTAGTTACAATACAATAATAGAAAATTAAATATTTCACTTCCTATATTGGTAGCTGATGAAGGAGAACAAAAACCAAATAACAAAAGTATTAAAAGCGAGATGGTTATAGCTTAGATGGCCTACAGCAAAATAATAAAAGGCTGATTTCCATTCAAGCTATGTGAATACATTTATTTTATAATTTTAGTTGCTGTAATATAATGTAATAATGTATATAAATGTTTTTGAGCATATTTCACTATTTGAACATATACAATATACATTTTGACACATTGACTTATAATAGTTTTTAAATTTTTCTTTGTTAATATTATAATCACATAAATTGTAACAAAGAGTATATTATTGATTTATTTCTGGTTTTATAATGATCACCTTTCAAAAATATTGATTCAATTAAAAATAATTATTTTTACTTTTACAACACACAAAAAAAATGGTTTGAGTTCTAATTCATATTTTAGCATAATATGGTAGTTATCTAAATATTAAATATAATACAATTATATTGTACAATAACGTATTACTAAATACATCAATTTAAATTAAGAATATCATAGGTGAAATATTATTAATATAATATGATGATTATGAGTATGTTAATAGTAGTTAATGAATATGTTTCAATACAATCGTAAGTACTATCATTGTTTGAGTTGTCAATATTATTTAGGAGGAAGCTAATTTTAAATGTAAATCACTATTTTTGGATAATAATAAATAACTAGTTTTGAAATAAAATATAAATAATGTTTACATCAAAATAATGATTAATCATGAGTAAATTAAGTATAAAAATATATATTACCTAAATCACTTTCAACCAAGGCGTAAATATTAGAATGTACAGTTGTAAAATGTAACATTAAGGGACATTGAATGATGCAATTATTTTTTTTTTATCCATTAAAAGCTTATAAATATTTTAAAAATATGTTCTTCAGTAACCTAGCTCTTATTCTGATTCATTTCTTTTGTTTTTAAAAAAATAAAATGTATATGTTCTGTACATAAATAAAAACAATACATTTCTGTTAGAAAATTATTAAATTTTTTTAAAATAACAAGATAAAACTGCATAGTTATTATTTAGTTTATGTGAATACAGTGTGATAGAAATATTACTTTTAATATTTGTTCTGTACTCTAAGGATTACTTGCATTATGTATGTACATCATACATCCGTGGTTCTTAACTAAGACATAGATGTGTAATGGTATAGACAAATAAGGATGAATTTAATAAAACACTCAAGAAGTTGGTCTTTAACCGTTAGATGACTACCGATGAATAAAATAGCTTCAAAAATGATTATTAACTAGTTATACTAAATAAAATAAATAATAATTAATAAGCAATAACAAAGCTTGTATGAAACTTGTTTAAACATACACACAATTTTTTGGTACTTAATTTTTTTTTGATTTAGCAAATTGAGTCATTTTCTTCTTGATTACATCTAAATTGGAAATAGTAATAAATAAAAAAAATATAAAGAATTCATAAATTTATTTTCATGTAATTCTTGTAGATTACAATCACAATTTGAAACTTAACATAATGACTATTGATAGTTGGAAACTAACGTAACTAAAAGTTAAATATTGACTTCAAATGACTAGAAAATTAATCTCAAAGTTGCACATTTTAATTATAATTTGTATTCTAGTTTTAACAATATGTTAATGAAGTGGAATGCTGAAGCAAAATAATGAAATACAAATTAAAAATGCATAAGTTTAAACTTGTATTACAAAATACAGTTATATACCACATTAAAATGTACTCCATTGATAAAAAACTCTGAAAACCATACAAAAATTGGTATGCTATATTGGAAAAAGTTTATTTTTGTGTCAATATAAAACTTATCAGTTATGCCGACAGTATATTTCTAAATCACTGGAGTATATAAACTCACGCCAAATAGACAAACCAACAGTGACATTTAAAAAATATCATAGCAACATTAATATAAATAATGTATTAGTTATCGAGCCTTAAACATAACTTATAATAGTTGCCATACTACATAAAAATAAAAACTCTTGAGCGCAATTATGGCAACGCATTAAATAAAAATCGAACTTCACCCAATAAAAAAGTAATAATAATTAAAAATAAATAAATAGGTAATAATAATAATAATAATAAAAAAAACAACAAAATAAAATAAATAAGACTTGGTTCAAGTATAGACATAACAATACTTATACTCTGTTTCAAAAGAGAACATACCGGTCGGCGACCAATTTAAGTCCGGCGGCGAGCATTAACCAAAAATTTCCCATTGTTAGCATGATCACGTGGTTCTTGACGCACCAATCAAATCATTCGACATGCGCGAAAGCGGTATGTTCTCTTTTGAAAAGGAATATATTACAACATTGAGTATTACGTCTATGCGTTTAGGAGGTCTATACTCCCATGATATATAGGAACTTGATCTATTTCTTTAATATAATAAATATTAAATACTAACTGCCAAATGTCACCATTGGCGGTTTACCATTCGCAAACATAGTTCATGATCGCGTACATCACCCCATCCGCCATTTCCTTTGCGCAGTACTTTTTTTTTGATTGGAGCATAGGTCACTTCTAACTTCTCTGGAAATAAATATTTGTACACCGAACTAAGCAGTTTTTGAACTTTAGCTATGAGCGCCATATCAAAACAACTTTTTTTATGATGAACACCACTAAACAGGAAAATGTTTTACATTATTATTTAATATTTATACATGAGTCTTAATTTTATTATAACTTACCATTCACCAATGTGAAACACTCTAGGAGCTTTGAGTACAAACACTTTAAATTCATGGCTAAGACAATTATTGGATACACTCTGGAGACTCCAATCCCAGTTGTAATCATCATACTTGCAGAATGTGTCGGCACAATCTACAAACTGTTTCCAAACAGTCCGATTGTACGCCATACCCATATTATGCTTGCTGCTAATCCATTGAGAAATTTCGGCCTAAAATATTTTAAACATTGTACAAATACAATTAGTTTAAATTTAATTTGAACAAATGCATATAATTTAGAGAAACAATTTTTTATATTTATTAATAGAAAATCTAACACAAAATGTAACAATAAATCTACATGCTTAAAAAAAACTATATTATTATAAAAACGTACATATTACTAATATTATTAACTAAGGTATGCTATGCAATTATAATGCAATACATTAACTAAATAGTAGTTCAAAAACCAGCTAATGTTAAATAAATCAATACATTTTTATTTCAACATCTGAAAAGACTAAAGAGTCAATAAAACTATTATTATTAATCAACCTCTTTTTTTCTTTTAAACCAATAGACGTACATTTAAATTGAACACATAATATAATAAATGTTTAGTTTTCAAACATAAACAACATAAAACAGTTAGAAGTTAAGAAAAACCTATAAGTAATGAGTTGCTAAGCTAAGTATGCTAAGCTCTTTGGTTTCTATGAACACCTAATTTAAAAGTCATATATACCTACACAATATGTAATATAAGCAACAAATAATTAATGTTAGTTGTTAAATTGACTATTTAAATGTTTAAATTATTAACATAACTAGAACTGTTAAGATATCCAAACAAGACATGATAAAGTACTGACCTTTATATCATATTAATTAACAGTAGAAAATGTAATTTATTATAGGTATGTCAACTAAAAAATACATGTTAAACAAACTATAAATACATTTGGGAGTTTAGGCCAAAAAGGCCATTAAATAATATTTTTTTATCAAAACCAACAATAGTATAAGTGTAACCACGGTAATGAGTTTAAAAAAGGACGGATAGACACAGCAGACATAAAAGTGTTTTCACAGAAATTTAAGAGCTTAATGGAAACAATTTAAGAATTATAAACTTGATTGATACAATGATACCTATAGTAAATTTGATGGTTAATAGATACTATTTTTTTTTCTATTAAACGGATTAATGATTATTTATTTAATGATAAACAATACAAAAACTTACAACTTTAAGCAAACAAATAAATCATACCAATAATCAACATTTTTTTTGGTAACTATCTAACTGTTAGTACTATTGTCTCATAAAAGTATAAAACTACAAATAACTGGATGATAAGAACTATTTGAAGAACTCCATACCATGCTTGATAAAAAAATACAGAATCTGTAGGTTATCACGTTTTAAAAATGTAAACTTCAAAAAAAATAAAATAATAGTTTGTTAAATTTGAAAGTTCCTTAAGATTAAAGATATTATTTACTTTGAAAGTTTATTTCAACTTGAGTAAGTTCAGTATGGTTATTACTTATTACTATTATTTGGTTTTTATTATTAAGCTATCGGGTATTCAGGTATTCTATATATATATTGAATATTAAGTACATTATTGTTTTATTTTTCTGAAAAATTAATTGAAGTGTGCTCAAAAATGGTTTATCAATAATATATTTAACTCAGTTTACTTCAAGTAATAGACTCAGTACTTTAAATTGCCTTTACAATTATTATACCATCCAATTTGTATGGATGTTGCAACATGCAAGTATATATTTTCAGCAATTTTAATAAATAGAAATTAGTTAAATTGTTTTAATTGATTTTTATTATAAATACTGTCTCTTAATATCCATAAAATAACAATTAAATATAAAAATTAAATTAGTTTGATTAATCAGTTTAAGAGAAAATTAAAATTATTAATCACTGTGACCACTACTAAACCCTAACCAAATATTATTAATCGTGCAAAACAGACATTAAACTGTATTAAATAGGTAGGTACAACAAAATACACACCCACATCAATTGGCGAAATAATTGAGTGGCTTATTGTAATGCAATTTAAACAGTTTTATTTATTTAGGTGGTTAGGTATGTGTCCACAAATCAATAGTATTTAGTAAATTACCATTAGTACAAAACTCATTAAGATCGATAGCCGATAGAAATAATTTTTACCTTATTTCTTAAATTAAACGTATTGAAAAACTGCATGGCGGGCAAATCACATGGAGGCTTCTAACTAATAACCAACAGTTCAAGGTAAATGCACCTAAATTACTACATAAACTCATGAAAAAAATTAATTCTGAGCATTCTGCATTCTGAATTATTTTTAATTCACGTTGCACAATTTTCTATAAATGAGGTGAAAAAAGTAATAAAAATGCAACCGGGCGAAAATCTATTAAAGAAATACGTTGGATTATAGTATAATTATTAAATTAAACAGGTAGCGATTTCTTGTTAAAAGTAGGTAGGCATGTATGGAATGTGCATGCAGATATTTCGATGTCGAACATCAAAAGAAGACATTTTTTTTGCCAGGTATGATGGGAAAAACTACGGAAACTAAAATTGGGTTATTAATACAATTAGATAATAATATATACATGCAAAAAAAACAAATGTAGGTACAAATAAGGAAAACTGTTCAACCTTATCATAATGTGAAAATGAAGGAACTATTTTAAAACTCCAAGACGGTGGTGTTAATTCTGCAGCAAATATTTGCTGTCGACGTATTACCCTTAAAATATCCTTCTACAATGTCGATTTTATTTTTATACATTTATGTAATGTATTGTGGGTGTTTCAAAATCGATCCAAAACCGCAGCAGTCATAATGAAAAAATTATCAATTAACACCATATTATATTCAACATACATTTCACGGGGTCAAGGTTATTATATTATTATAAGTATGTAATTATTAAAATAATTGATAAAATATTATAACGCACCTTTGCTTCTCCGTAAAAATTATAAGTTTTCAAGTATGTTCCCAACGACAATATACTACACTGCGGACAAGCTACGCTACACGATTTTTCCATCAACTTTAACATGTATATGAAATCCTCTGCTACATAATGGTCGTCTTCCAAAAATAAAATCGGGCCTGAAAATGTAAAGTAAATGATATAGAAATGTAGTTCGATCATTTCGTGGCAAGTGTAAAGATGTTTAGGCCTCGGGACAGCCCCCACAAAATAATGTATTCACAAACAAAAATATAACGGAAAAGTCTAAGTCTAATGATATTTATTTTTGACTCTAGAGAAATAATCACAGAAATATATTAATAGTTGAAAATTGAGAGTATTTTCTATTTTTCTATAACTTGCAATAACCAGAATGACAGAGCTAGTATATAGAGTATATTATGAAGTATAGAATATACAGAGTGATTAACCAATCATGTTTTCACACTCGTATTTTCATTAATTAAGGCATTTATTCAAAAACAAGTAGATGATTCGCTATAATGCTTGTATATTGAAAGTACTTGCTACTATCGAGGCCGGCGGGGCTTGTCACTTATGAGATTTTAAATACAAAGTGTCCTGTGGCGATACCAACTTCGTTCTTAGATTCTGAGCGGAGAGAGAATGTATTTATTTTAAAATTATTTTTGTGTCTTTCATCACCGATTGGGGCAGTACAACTGCTTAGATTTTTTCGACGGTATCTTGTTCGATGGGAAAGTGAATCTAGTTGGTGCAATCGGAAGGTAAAATATTAAAATTCCCAATAATTTTCAAAGGCGCAGGGAAAAACGAAAGAAAAACGGAAATTTTATCAAAAAATTGGTTATCAATAAAATATAGATTTTGGTTTTTATTGTAACTCTAAAACAAATGACCATAGATACACGATTTTCACTGGTTGTTCATATTAGCATTTTCTATTAACGATAAAATTTTTAAAATATTTTGATTTGTTTTAAATTGTTCACGGACATTTTCAGTTTTCAATTTTTATAGTTTTTTTTTCTATGAATGTCAATACAATTTTATTTGTTGGGTTAAAAGGCTTGAAAATTTAATACAAGGCTCTTAATATATTGTTACAATGACATTTAAAAAATATTAAAAATCCATTGTCACAATTAATTTTTTTATAAACATTTAAAGTTTGATTTTTGATAACGTTTATCAATTTAAAATTTAATAATTATTTTGTAGTTAAAAATTTATAAAATGTTCAACTTTTATAGCTAAGGATTGAAAATTTAAAACAAGGTTCCGCGTAAATAGGTTATATATAAATTACTTTACTCACAATAATATCATCAAAATATATATCATAGGCTGACCGTCTTTTCTCAGGATCATTTTTCGTATAAATACAATATTATATCATTGAATTCAAATTTACACCATCCATTACAGTGACCTACTTATAATCTATTGTACAGCAGAGCGACACCCACTTGCCCACCCTTTTAAGATCAAAATCACTTTTTTCCCTGTATATCATGAAGTAAATGATTTTTTTTTTAAATGTTGATGAATCAAAATTTAAATTTGAACAAGCGTGGTTTATAAGTTATTTTTTTTGTGTATTAAGAATAGTTCAAAGATAATAGATTTAGAAGTGGAAGCTATCATGATTATAAAATTATAGTGATTAATATTAATCTGTTATCAATTTAAATTTTATGAAAATTGTCCGAGTATTATAAGTACCTACTAGGTTAAAATATATTACTTAGTTTTTATAGTTTTTAAAACCTTCTTTAAAAACTATTATTCTTAGTTTATACATTTTAACAAATCCAGAAACAACTCATTCAAATATTGATTTAGATACAACATTTTCAAAAAATTCATAGGATTCCCGATTCATGATTAAAGATAAAATAATGTTAGTTTTAAATTGATAAAAAGAACATTGTCACAACCTACAGGAGTTTACATTGTGTAAATAATCAGAATTTGCATAAATTCATTATTAAATGCAAAGTCCCCGGTCAAATGCCCAATGGTCATGCTTTGTTCATTCTATATAAATATATTATATTGATATTTTCAAAACTCTCGCGACAAAAATGAACCAACGTATAGTATTCGGTCACCTTTAAAATGTATAGGTAGATACACATGTATTGCCATTTTCCATCACTAAACTCGCCACACATTCAACCCTCTACAGGGGGGAAGCGACAAGTTCGTTACATACCCGAGTAATTACTGACGACGTCCAACTCGTTGAACACTCTATTTGCTTTCCACCACCAATGATGTTTGGTTTGGGTGAATTTTGCCTCTCGATAATGACCGTATTGATCCGGATGCATGGCGTTGATACACTTCCGTTTAATCGCACTATTTGCCGCAATGGAAAACAAAAACAGGAATAAATAAACACACGTGTAAATCATCATGTTATGAGTTATGAGGGTGCAGCTTTTTCAATATTATTGTCATATATTATACAATAAATAAAACATTTTATTGGAATAATTACTCTGATTTGGCAATGTCTCTGGGGCAGTCTTCCGGAGATTCACCGGGAAACGAACCCGGATGCGTTTGTATAGAATACGGATAGAATATCTGCATGGTTTTGCAAAAGTCGATCATCTGTATCAGTTCGTTTATTTGTTCGTCATAATGATCGTGACTGAATATTAACAACGCATTCTCGATGCCTCGCGCTCTTGCCAAACTCACTATGGTGTGCCGAAGGTACATAATACGCGTGTGGACCTAAATAACGACCAATAATTACAATGATAAACAGCGTTCGACAATAGTATACAGGCCACAAATGATTTATGACAATATTACAATAATACCATATCATTACAGTCAATCATTTTCCGATGGACCGGCGGTTCAGTATGCATTCGGAAACGTATAATGAATCTTATATTATGTATAGGTAGTTAATAATGATAATGGCAATAATAATAATTAATAACAATAAACACACACACACACGGCATTTCTGTACGAATTAATTATAATACACAAGTATGCACTCAGCGTCTTTGCATATATAAATGTATAATGTATTATATTATTATATCAAATAATTTAGTCGCATACTTGAATGACAATGACTAGAGAATCGTTTTGTAACGGGCCGTATACGTCTTCGTTGAGAACGACCTGTTTGGAGTTTTGCTGATCAATCAGACGTCGTATTTCGGATGCATTCAGACTGACCGCCGTCGCTATGTGTTCGCTGGCATTTCCGGGCAGTATGGCCTGGTGCGGACGGTCACGCTGAGGCAACGCGACCAAGTACTTGTGCAAATGCTGTACACATAAAATATACGAATACGAAATTAAAAGACAAAAAAAAATTCGAACAATAGAACAATAAGTTTTTCGTAAAATTTAACACGCATTCACTTAGTCAACGGACTCCAACGAGTTTATCTTGCTAAATGTTGGTTTAATAATAGAGGAAGTTTTGTATTGAGTAATAAACTACTATATCCGTTTTGTGCTTAAAAAGTCAAATGAAACTACACTTCTGCGGAAGAGCCCTGACATTTAACTAGAATCCAACACTGGATACAACGTATTTATATTGTTAAATATATATATAGTATAATATATACTATAATAGGTCAGGTGTACAATACTAAATGCATACACGTACAACTAACATCGAAATATACGATTACTATGTATTAAAATCGATATAATATTATATCGTACAGGGGAAACGAAATTGAACACGCGTATGCATCTGCGGTTTGACTTCAAATATTCGATATAGCGTGTAGTAGAATTGTGTCTTTATCATTATTAAAAGAGCACAAAACAGATTATATTATAATATACAGAGTGAATATGAATTAGAGTAATCAATTTTCATTATAAGAAAGACTACTTAATCTTGGGTAAGGCTGTAGAACACTAGGTAATACATTATAATATTTTTGGCATCAAAATAAATACAGTGTTAACTAAAAGTAAAAGAAAAAAAAATTAAAACTGTAACGTATATTTACCATACTTGGTCTTAAAATATATGTCATTCTGTCGGCATTTATTTGGGTTTAAGTTGGGGAGGCCATCGTTATAAAAGGTTATAAAAGGTTGAGAACCACTGTTTTAGATGCCTACTTTTTTAAATGTGAACCACTCACTTTTCCTGTTAATTTTCAGAAAGATCTACATGATTACTTTTGGTGATGATATATTTCATTAAAAATACTATGTGCGTACCACCATACAGGTTAAATACAGATGAGCTAATAAATCAGTGGAGTCAATAATAATTAATAACTTATATGTACGAGCGAGTATGTGACAAATTTTACTATATCGATTAGCTGTTTTTCAGTCAGATGGAAGCCACATTGAACACTTACTTATAAGTACCTATATACCGGGGATAAAATTTAATACATATTCATTTTAATCAGTTATCACTCTGAACCTAAGAACTTAAAATACATAACCATTTGAATTCGGATGTTATACTGTGAGGATTAATGTTACACTCTGATAATACATGTTTATTATGGAACTTCTGTATAGTGTATACGCTGTATTATACGAACACGCAAGTTCTGTATACTGCAATGCAGGTAGGTATAATATTATTATTGTTCATATCATGTATATAAATCGCACCTGTGGAACCAGTTGCAACATGGAATCATTAGCATCTAGCAGTCCGTCTGGCTTGGCGAGTATCTGTATCGACTCGTTGTCGGCCACGTCAGACATATGCATCTGTACCCAGAAGAACGTGAGACAAAATATCAACACGACGGTGCGCAAGCACACGCCGATGCCCAGCTTCCGGCGCACGGCGATGATTTTCTGCCGCAGCGTCCGCACCACGTCTATATTTATATATACACGATCGCAGAACATATTATAATACCATGTATGTATATTATTATTAGTTACGGCATCGTTATAATATGTAATGGGCAATAAACACGCCATCTAATGTTAAAACGATATCATAAGAAAAAATGAGTTATCATATAGGTATCATATTATTATGTATTGTAGGTATCCTACCGATCGCCATTCCAAAATTGACTATTTCGGTCACTTTGTCAACCATTTGGTCGCGTGTACTCTGAATGAATGTGCAACGCAAAAGCACAAAAACGACGGACACGGATCGAAAAGTGGTTCATCCGTTGAATACACGTCCGCGGTGCTATGCCGGTTCTGAAAATGGAAAAAAAAAACATTACAATAAACACTTGGTTACCGGCAGCCAAAAGTCCGTCTCAATGTAGATACAATACATAGTTTTGTAACAAAATAAATGTAAATGTTACATATTATATTATATTGCAACGTGGTCGGGCACCAATATAAATGTTTAAATGAAAATACAACATGAACTTATCTAATTTTCTATAAACACTATTTATTAATATTACCTATACATAATATGATTTTTTTTTTTAATATTATATTAATAACACTTTTGTTTCAATTTGTATTTTGTAGATTAACCCCGGAATTTGCTTATTATCCGTGGTTGCCGTAACACCTTATTCCGCGGATAATCGAGAATTTACTGTATTATTAAATGTAACCGTAAAACGATTTTCAATCATTAAAAACTAATTTATATGCAAATATGGACTTAACCTAATTGTATAAACCAAGTTGTTTACTAGGTTTTCATCATAAAATATAAATAAAAATTATTAATGGATACACCTAACTATCATCACAATTATCGACCGTCAACTACACTATGGGTTAATAGTTTAATACCTCAATTCAAGCGTCACAATGGTTGATTCATTAATACTTTTTGATGTAGAACATTAGATCGATCAATTACAATAGCCATTTATTGTTTAATTAACACTTTGATTACCTGTTTTTCTTTTTTAAAAACACAATACCTAGTTAAAAAAAGAAATTTTATTTATTTTTCTAATATAGAACTGACTTCTCATCGTACTACTTAGAATACATTACCTATCGTTATTAATATACAGTCTTTAAAAATCATATTATAGTTATATACGATTAAAATATTCTAAACTTGAGTAGGTATAAAATATCCTGTAACTCGAGATACCTATAGGTACGTCCAATGTATTTAAAATTTAAATATTGTTATACCTACATTCATATTAATTTTATTCACACAATATCAAAATGCTAACATAGGTATTAGTGTATTACACAAAATATGATCGTTAACATTACACATACATTTTATAGGTAGTGTGTACCTAAAATTATCACAACAAATATTATAATAGTAAATGATTTAAAACAATGAAAACACAAATATTATATTTTATACAAATGATCCACTAACATCACACGGAAATTGATTATATTACCTTTATCTAGTTGAAATGAATCAAATATGCCTGTATAAGATGTATTTTATTGAATAATCAGGAAAGTGAAATTATTTGGCAAACTGTTAACATAAACGTGTACGGCCGATACGGCAATATCATGCATCGATCAACATTGTATTAAAAACCGAGGACATTTCACGGAATGCTGAACGCTGATTAAAAATATATTGACCTTTTCAAATGTCTGTAATAATTACTTGAGAGAATTCAAATCTAAATCTCTATGAAAAAAATACTATTTGGTAAATATACAATTCCACAAAGTAAAATAAAGGTAAGGAGTTTTGTAAAGTAATTTTTACTTAAAGTAGGTACTTGAACAATAAGATTAACCTATTGTATGTTTTGCTAACTATGTACAATAATTAAAATTAAAATAGTACCTATATTATCATTTTTTAGAGATTTACAATTTGAAAAATACAATTTCTGTTATATTTTAAGTTTTTTTTTATTATTAGATCTTAACTTTATAGTTCAGACTTGAAATTTTAGTAGTACTTATAATATAGGTACTCATATATATATTCGATAAATGTTAAACATTGAAAAACATTTAGTATTGGTAGTATATATATTATATATAAGTGTTTTAAGTATAATTAGATTAAAGTACCTAAATTAATTTATTATAATTTAACATAATACAGCTAGCTTTTTTTAATTTTTAATTTTATAAAAATGTTCTTCATTTTTATGTGTTTCACATAATAATAATAAGGTATATTTTAGAATAAGTTTTTACTTTATTATAAACCTTAACTATCGTTGTTGAAAACTCGAAAGGCTATAAAGGTATATAGGTATTTAAAGAAAAACCTCGAGAAAAACTAAATATTCAGTTTTATTTTTTTTTTATTTTTTTAATCCTAAGATTCAAAATTTCAATGATTCTATTCAATGAATTTATATACTCATAATATTGAGTAGGTACATACTACGGATATTGAAATGTTAAAGTGTTACGTTCACGTCGTTAGTTAAACGCTCTCAGTTATTGTCGTTAGATATAGTGGTTATGTATCAAGAAAGGAAAATAAATAATCGGCATGCAAATCAAAACAAAAAAAAAAACAAGAAAACCGCCAATAACAAAATCATGCCAAAGTTGCAGGTACGTTATGAGATATTCATGAGGTTTTAGGTAGAAACGATAATGTTTTTTTGCAACCCTTAGTTTCCATTCAATTTAGTTTTGCTCTTGTCCATTTTAGCAAACACCCGGTTTATAGGTACCTAGTGGCTAGTAGTATAATAGTACATTATAAATAAATAAATCTCTCCTCCTCTCACATTAGAACAATGTTTCGAGCGTCAATTTCATTGTGAGCAGTACTACACATAGTAGAAGAAATGTGTTGCATATTTATATGTAAAAACGACAAAAGTTGATTATCTAAATGCAAAATGTACTTAATATGACTTTGTTTATAATAAACATAAAAACGATATGCTGACGACAGGTGAACGGTGATCGAAAGAGTACACTTGACTATTAGTTAGCGATACTGCGGATTTATGACGACATCGTTGTCTAATCGACCCACGCGTCTACGCCCACGTCATATATAGTTGGCAACTATATAAAGCGTGAATTTACTTTGAACTATTTGTTCAATCAAATAATATATACCTACTATAAACGATCTAATATCAACTAAGAAAATATATAAAAGGCAATACTGTAGTACTAAAATTAAAAGTAATATATGTAGTATGTACCTAATTTAAAGCTATAATAAATAATGTGTTATGTAAAACACTAAAAAATAAAAACTAATTAACAAATTGCTTCAAAATCTCTAAAATAATTAAGTTTTATTTTATTAGGGATAATTCAGTGTAAATTGCCTTTTAGGGGTGTAGGTGTTCTAGGAAAATGCATTTCAAGTATAAAGTTTGATTATTGTAACAGTATTTCAAAAGTAAAACATTTATTTATATTTTTAGCATTTTATCAGTTTTTACTGTAAAATTCAAAAGATTATCTCAATAAATTTTGTTATAGGTTCAATGCAACGTATAATTTAACATAATCTTGTAGTTTAATATTATTGTATGTTGAGAATTACAGCCCCAAGATGATGTTATTGAGCGATAAAAATCCATCGCCGATGAGCCTTTTCCAATTTTTTCGATAGAATTATTAAACTTCCTTAGATAATAAATATTGTTAAATTTATTTTTTGTACCTAATGAAATAAAAAAAAGTAATATATTGGTATGCTCGTTAATATGCGGTCAAAAGTAATTCTTCACGGCATTTTAGCTACTTATTTATAGTCTTCAAGGAATATAAATGAGTAATAATGAATTTTAAGTCAAACTACAATAACTAGATATTAGAATACACATATTTAAAAAAAAAAAAAAAAGATATTAGAATACAATAAATTAAGAATTATGAATCAACGTTTAATAACAAAATAATTTAATGGAAAAACTCTATTAAATTGGTACCAGTTCAAGATAAAATGCAATAGGTACCTTACTTATAGTGTAAAAAAATGCAATAGTTTAAAAAAACCTCCACAATAAATAACTAATCAGAAAATATACTCAAGTATTAAGAACTAAGTGTTAGCATAACACATAAATTATATAATATATACAATGTACATTATATATAATGTAAAGGAATGAGATTATGTAAGTTATTAAGTCCAATAAAAATATAATTTTCAATTTGACACAACTCTAATAACATAAAATAACTGTTTTATGTTTGTGGAAAAACGTAAAAAAAATAAACAAACTACTAAAACAAAAACTGATTTTTTTTCTTTAAATCAGTAAACCAATAATTTAGATTCCTGAATATTATTTACTTAAAATGTATATAGTTTATTTGAAATGAAACAATAAAAAAATCACATATTTTATATTATATATTATGTATATGTTTAAATTGTATTAATTTATATTTATGATATTTATAAATTTGAGACCAAAAAAATTTTAATTGAAGCGTAAAACAAATTAGCATTTAATTGAGACATAAATATTTTTGAATTTTTCTATCCTAAGTACAGAGTAGATAAATAGAAGAAAAATAGTAAAGCATTTATGCTCAGACATATGTGAAAAATAATTATTTTTAAGTTACTTTTATAACCTGCATAATAATTATGTACCTATATTTTATTTATTATTATTATTGTTATACATTCTTTAAAATATCCCAAGTATTTTATACATTTTATAAAAAGTTTCCAGAACAATTAAAATACTTTGATACAGTTTTTCCTAAATGTATTATAATAGCAAAATGTAATAATAAATATTCGTAAGAATGAACGATTATTTTTAAGTAATTTATGTGAAAATTTAAGCTTTTAAACGAACATCAATTAAATCAAATCTGGAGTTTTAACGTAACAGAAGTTAAATTTTTCATTTAACACAAATTATATAAAATAATGAATAATTCTGTACGTCAGATAAAATAATTTACTTTAATTAACGAATTATGAAACATATTAATTATTGTAAATAAACAAACGAAAGATTAACCAATATACTAATATAAACCATTAAACTTTGCACTTATATATAACTAGCTGATCCTGTGCACTTCTTGCCCGTTAAATGTACCAACTCTATATGACTCATACTTTGTTCAATTCGTTATTTAATATTAGGTGTATGGTTTTCAAAATGTATCCTAACTTTTCTGTTGCCTAGAATAAAAATTCTGATTCGCAGCAGTATATTATCAGGT